TCTGGGACCTTACTGTGCCGCCCCAACCTCCGGGGACCTGAGGTAGCCGTCTCGGACCTCAGGTCCGCCTCTGGGACCTGAGGTCCCGGCCTAGGCCCTCAGGGACCTGAGGGACCCGCCGGTGGCCTCGGGGACTCTAACTGGTACGTCCTGGTCTCGAACCCATCGTCGGGGAGCTGGTGGCGACATCCTGGGCCAGCCTGAGTCGTCCTTGATGGGACGTAACGCCGTCCTTGACTCGATTTGACGCCGTCCTTGAATACTGGTCGTCGGTTTTCAAGGACGGCCCTTGAAAACAGCCATTTTCTGTCCGTTTTTCAAGGACCCGTGCTTGAAACGGAGTTCTGGTAGTTGAAAATGCAAAAATGTCCTTGAAAACCAAGGACCGGGGCTAACCGAGTGCCGAGAGTCATGTCGGAATGTACTGAGACGAGCAAGAGCGTGTTGCGAAATATGTACGGACACTGTGAAAAATATCTTCGCACAATGTACGACACATTTTGTCATGTAATTTGCCACTTACAAAATGTGTCGTACATGTTACAACCTCCCAGGGAGTTTCAACTATATTTCGTCATTCGATTGCAATGAGTAGACGGGGTGCTTGTATTGTACATTTACAATCTTGAATTGAAGTCATACGACTTCTGCCATGGAAATTTTTTTCTGAACCCAGAAAGACAATTTTTATTTTTTGACAGCGAATGGTATGGAGTGCTTCGATATGCTGTTGGAGCACGGGTCCGTCCGAATTCTCGTCCAGATGGGTCGGTTCGGGTCGGTGTGGTTTGCTCTGCGGCCTTTGCTAGGCGCGCCAGCCGACATTCGGCTGCTACCCACACTGTAAACATTAGTTGTTAAAAATCCAAACCGAACTGAACCGGCCCATCCGGACGAGATGACCCCACGGCTCTGGAAGTAAACAAAAACAACAACAACAAAAAAACATCATGTAAAGAAAGATGACGGGCTGCGCGCGAGTGACCTCCCTGTCTTCGCATCCTCGTCGCGTCCCTCCTCGCCCAGTTCCAGCACGCTCGGCAGCAAATCAGATTGGAATCTTGGTGGGCCACTCTGCGCGTGTATGCAGTCCGCTGCGAGACACACACAGAGAGATAGGTGCGGGGAGGAAGAGGACGGAGGGAGCAACGCAGGGGCTGGCAGATGGCATCCGTGGTGTGCGGCCAAAAGGCAGATGCACACTTTAAAAAAATCTGTCGCGATTTCCCAACACATTATGCAATGTGAAATCTCGACGCTTTTTCTCAGTCAAGAAACGTGCATTTTGCGATCTTTATTTGAAATAATATACCTAAATATAATGCGTAATTACGCAAACAAATACATTTAGCGTGTAAAAAAGCACCTAGCGGCGTGGGACAAGAATGTAATAAAATGAAAAGATCCTCCGGCCACAGCCAGCCCCTCCCCATCTGAGCAGAACGAATGGACCCGCCGATCAAATGGGCGTGTAGTGTAAGATTGGGACCCCGCCCATCTCTGCTTTATCTGTCCCCCTAGCGGGGCACGATGTAGTGAGCGATTCCAACCACATACCTCTTGCTCTCTCTCTCTCTCTCTCCCATCGCTCTGCCTTCTCTCGTTGAGGGAGGCGGGCCCCGTATCGCACGGTCCTAAACTTTCATAAACATTGTCAGAGACGGACGGACAGGCTGTGGGAAGAGAGCGCGGAGGGATGGGGTGAGAGAGAGAAAGAGCACGAGAACGGTCCTCTCCCCCCCCCCCTTCCTTTTCTCTTTCTCTCTCTTTCCCACTCACTCTTCGCGTGGTGGAGACCCGCCAAACCATTTGTCGTGGCAACGACAGCGCGGGTCAGCCCCGCCTTACACGGGCCGCCACGCCCCGCCACGCCCTGCTCACAAATATTCAGTACATGCGCTCCTGCCACGGCCAACGCTACCCGCGCCCACCCGCACATTGCGATCCATCCGGTCAGGGAAAGGCCGATCTGCAGGGCGTTCGCCTACATTATCGATCTTACTTGGTTTTAATCAGAATAAGGCCGATCTGCACTGGCCTTGTACAACGACCTGCTTTAGTCAAAACTGGCCTCCGCACAGGCATGTAGAAGTCGACAAATAAGAGGAAAAGGTATCATAGTCTCACTGATGGCATGTTAAGTGCCAAGTGCACGCGTCTGCTAGACAAACGGAAATGTGATAGACAGTGAAAGCTACAGGGAAAACTGGTGGTCTGGTGGTAGAGGAATTGCCTGAGTCTGACAGCTAATGAAGTTTTGAGGTGATAACCCAACTATAATACCTTCAGAGAGAGAGAGAGAGACAAAGAAACAGACAGAAAATACTTTGCGAGCTTTCTATGGTGCGACATACCGACGACGGAGAGGAGCCCGGTCTGCAAACCGGTGTGGAAGGTGGGCGCGTCGGCAGAGACTTCGCAGCGGTAGTAGGCGGGTGGCTGCCGGCCTAGGTCCTGCAGAGTTACCCTGTTGGCGTCCGATCGGCTCACCTGCGGGCAAAAATAGTGTTTGTACCTTTAGTCAAGCAAGGCTGTTGCAAATCTTATGTTCGCAATAACAAACAATCTGGAAGCTTTGCAAGCTTAAAAACAATAGCATTACCAATTACAAAAAATATGGGCCGTAATCTAAAGGTCATGCTGTCCTGCTCATCAATTATGGAGCTGCCTGGTTGGAAAATGGTTCTGTCCTACTAAGTTGTTCCCACCCACTGCACTTGTTCTACGCTCGGCACCAAGAACAATTTGATCTAGTGTCTGCTCGTAACGGTAGTCGGTCCTTTGATGTAAAGCCAAGACCTTCGAGATGAACAAATCGTTCTGCTACGCGTAGTTTTTTTCTCATCACTTGTTCTACTTTGATTCATATTAGGCACAATTTTCTCTGGTGTTTGCTTGCTACGGTAACGGGTGTCGAGGCAGACGAGGACCACAAGATGGACAAAAATGTTCCGCTTTGTTTTTCTATCTGCACACCGACATCGTTCCGTACTAAGAAAATTTGGTTCTTCTGCGGTCGTAACGGTCGTAACGTTGTGAGCCTAACACACACTAGATGAAAAAAAGGTAATGATCCCGAAAAAAGAAGGCTTCAATGGGCCAGACGTCCTGTTGGGCACAAAGAAATGCCGAACAGTGAAGAACCCCCTAGTAAAGTTTCGGACATTAATACTGTTATAATTTAGTACGCAGTCGGTGCGAGAGGCTTTGCCCAGCGGCTAGGATCACAGACGACGACTGCCACCAGGAGCCAAGCTCAAAGCAGAGACGAACACCAGTGATAAGCTGTTTGACAAGAAGCTCAACAGTCATGGTAAGAACAGCATCGTGATCGAGAGATGCTTCCAGTGAGCAGCGGCTTTCAGCTAGGCCGAGTCGGTCACTTGCACGGGGCTCACCGACCTCTTTGTCTGCCCGCGCTACGTTAACTCACGATATAGAAAAAATCAGTTCTCAGGGCACGGATTTGTATGATGAAAAACCAGGAGCATTGTCATACATAGCGAAGACTTAAGTTCTTAGTAATTACAAAGTATTCATTGCTTCGTTGGCTTCGGTGCTACCGTTTTTTCTGCAGGCTGCAAAGCAATGCTTGCTTATGGACTTTTGACAGTGCACGGACCGACACGCTCCTCCCGATTCCAAGTAAATCATCCAATAGTCGTCGAGATTCCTGTCTCATTCCAAGTCCAGGGTCCTCGTGTGATAGACGCAGGCTGCATTGGTTTTCTTGGAAGTAGCCAGACACCAATATCGCTGATATTTGATAACGATCTGATAGGTGACTGCCTCACATACACATTTCAGACGACAAACGACAGGAGCTCAAAACGTTCGCCTAATCTATGTCTTCTTCGACTTTTCTGCGATGTCGCTCTCTGCGACCTGCTAAGACAACATATTGGGTAATTGCATGGCCTCCCACAAGTCGTAAATTTTGTAAAACCTGAAATCATTTAAAAGTTACATACTCGCGAATTAGCAAATTTAAATAAACACTTGTTGATCTGAAAAAATATTTTTACTGACTTTTAGTTAATATTAAAAAGTGATGTTTGCATGCACCGTGAATGGGTTCGTGAAATGCTCGGGATTTTTATCAGCTCTGCGCGTTTGCTTACCGCATTCACAACCGTCAAACGGGTGTGCGCTCCCATGCCCACGAGTGAGGCCAGTAATAAAGAATCAGACATAATTTGGAGGAAGCTACAAAGAACAGCATTGGATTTTGCTATGCACTGACTGGTACGTTCGTTCGTGGATAGCGATGGGCCCATATTGTTTTCGACCAACCTGCTACCTGCTGTTCGCATTACACCGGATCGCTTCTCTGTGTTCAACAGATCGATCATAACACGGTTAATAAAATGGCATTCATAACGTTTTAGTGTTTTGTGTTCGGAGAATTGCAGAGACGGATCACCGAGAGAATAAATATGCGCTGTTGCGCGAGCGGAAATTCCATCCCCTTATACCCTCTTATCGTTTCTAACCTCGGCGGTTTAAAATGACCCCCCCCCCCCCCCCAGCCCCGCGTCAACTCCCTCACAGGACGGGCCTCAGGAAGCCCTGGTGACACGCCCCCGCACGCAGGACAGCTTCAATTAATGAGCATAATCCCCCGCACGGCACACAGGGCCGGGGATTAAATCAACTTTTCAGCCGCTACACCACAGTACATAAATCACGACGGGGACCGAGGGCGGGACCAGCCGGTACGACAGGGCGGGTACGCTCCCACACACGTATACACAAATGTGTGTGTTTACTTAATTGCACACTTATAATATAGCACTGCGACCAATTGGGATGTACTTTTAAAAACCTTTCCTTATGTATTCTTTTTCTTGCAATGAGAAAGCCACAAAATAACCTTAAAGCTGGAAAATAAAATCGTTGTAAGTAGCTCAACAGAAAAGAAGAATCGTTTCAAACTTCTTCTTTCAAATTTCCACTTTTGTGAGACTGATGGAATCTCGATAACTCTCAAAAGCCGAGGTCGCTGTTTTTGTTGTTGTTTCCCATGTCTTCATCCATTTCTATCAGTCTCGGCGAAGGGGGCAGGAAAAAAGAGTCAGACGTTTGGCGTCGTCGCCCGTCGCGGCCAACGTCGATTTCGTTAGTAGGGCAGAAAAAGAGGGGCCAGCAAGCTTCCTACGCGCAAGCGTTGTTCATCCATCGCATGCGCACCATCTACACAGGGGCTACATTGTCGTATACTTTTACCGATTGGAAAGAGCGGAAACTGCACGAGTCGCCATTCGTCTTGGGGGGCGGGCCAGCAGAACTAGTGCAGCCCCCGGCCACCCCCTCCTGGTGCCACGGTCTGCTCAGCGACACACTTTTCATGGTGGTCTTCTGCGGCTTGTGCCAAAGGAGCGTGGAATATATAACCTGCCGGTCACTGATTTACAAACTGTCGCGCAGCGAGACGCCTTGTTCATCTTACCAAAAGTAAGTACAAGAAAAAGCCGTTTTGATTTGGGAACGTGGTTTTTGGGCAGCCAGGACTGGTCACAACCCCATTCCGCTCACAAAACGGACTCGCATTTCCTCTACATTTCAAGGAAAGTTAGATTAGCGCACAATATGCACGATGGTATTGAGTTAATTGAGGGAGCAGTAATGATCCTGAAGAGCTCTGATGTTTTAGTGATTAACACTTTAAGCGCCATCAGTCAGTGAGGGACCGTAGGAAAATGGATGACAAATTTTTCGGCACGTCATAAGTGTGTGTGAGGGAGGGGGAGGGGTTAAAAAGAGGGCGTCCGCCGAGTCGAAAAAAAAGAAGGGACAAAGTCAGCGATACGTGCAAGGCCTCGCGCGTCGTTCGGCGTGAGACTGGTGGCGCCTGGGGTTCTGGAGGCTGCGGCGGAGGATGTGAAGGCTGTGGAGGGGAGGCAGCAGCCAGCCCACCACTACCACCCTCCAAATCTTGCTATTACCGGACTGTCAGCGAGGATACAAACGCACTGTATCTTCTCCCCCCCCCCCCACTCTTAGCTTCCACGTGTCACGCAGCCAGCACCCCTCTCTCTTTCGCGCCGGCCTTTCTGCGCCACTCTCACACCGGCGTGATGTCGGCTGATCAGTATGACAACAGGTTTTCATTGGTCATGATGATGATGATGATGCCAATCACCAACGACAGACAAGAAAGTAGTGCAGTTTCGAATGTCGTGCTTCGCCACCTCTACGACGGTACCGGACCCGCCGTCGGTGCCAGCTCCTCCACCCTGCCCCCCTCCCGCCCCTCCTCCCCGCAGTGATTCATATTTCCCGCCGAGTCCCTGCTGGCTGCACCCTTCTCTCCCCGCGGCCAGCCCTCCTGGACCCCGGGCCCCTACGGCAGCATCCCTGGACCATATTTACGGTCCGGACGCGGTATTCACATTTCAAGACGGGCATCCCGCAGGAATTCTTCCCCGCCCTTCCGACCTGCATCGTCAGAGGGCAGCATTTTTCCACCGGCGGGAGGAGAGCGGCCCCACCAGCCGCGGCATCGCGAGGAGTCGCGTGGAGAGCAGGTGAGGTAGGACGAGCTCGAAAGAGCAGGTATTTACACTCTTGAGAAAGTAAAAGACGTTTCTCTCTGATACAAAGGGCACGGCGGCAAAAATGATTAAAAGCCGCGAGGATTTTCGGATTCCTTCTTCATTTTAGCCGTGTGTTGCATAATGGCCACCTCGCAGACTCCGCAGTGCGCCGAGAGCCACTTGCGCGCAGCGGCGGCCGGGGGATGCAAATTGAATTGGCTCAGAATGACCGCAGTGGGAGAGAGATGAGGGAC